ATCGTCTTTACAACGATGTAATTATTTGAATATTTATTTCTACAGGGTCGACCAAAACTGTTTATTTACTAAAATACATAAAACTGTTTAGTAAAAAACAATTAAATTATATTAAATGTTCAAACTGATGACCTTCAGCAATAATGCAATAAGACAGCCGAGCAGTAAATTCGTCTCTAACGTTTACGAGAACTTCAGGCGTTATTTGTGCAATCTCCGTTCTGATGCGATCCTTTAACTCTTCTATATCATTTGGGCGACTTTGATAAACTTTGCTCTTCAAGTATCCCCATAAAAAAAAGTCTAAGGGTGTCAAGTCTGGCGACTTTGGTGGCCATTCGATCGTTCCTCTTCTTCCTATCCACCTATCTGGAAAAACAGCATTTAAGTAGGTTCGTACATCAAAGGCGTAATGTGGGGGTGCCCCATCCTGTTGAAACCACAAATCACATCTATTTGGAAATAGTTGATTTAATTGTGGTAATAGATAATCCTGAAGAAATTGAAGATATCGAGGACCGGTCAAGTTTCCTTCAAAAAAATATGGCCCTATTATTTGATTATTTATAATGCCGGCCCAAACATTCACCTTTTCAGGATATTGTGTCGTATACTCCTGCATCCAATGGGGATTTTCACTTGCCCAGTATCGATATGTCTGGCGGTTTACATGGCCGTTGAGCATAAAAGTTGCTTCATCCGAAAAAAGTATATTTTTTATGAAATTACGATCTTTGTTAGATCGTTCCATAATTGTTTCACAGAATTCAATTCTCCTATCAAAGTCATCTTCTAACAGCTCTTGGACCAAATGTACCTTATACGCATGCCACTTCTCCTTTTTCAGTACTCTAGCAACAGTAGAATGGTGTAAATTATTATCCAGCGCAACTTGTCTCGTGCTGGTGTGGGGTCTTTCTTGAAACTCTAGTAAAACGTTAACTTTTTTATCTTCGGAAATTGACTTTCTACCACTTTTGGGGAGATCTTTAACATGGCCCGTTTCTCGAAACTTTTTCTCGATTTTACTAATTGTTGATTGAGAAATGGGTTCACGATTGGGGTATTTAGCATTAAATAAATTGCCAACTTCTCTCTGTGTCTTTACTCTATCTCCATAGCCAATCATCATTAATATTTCGATTCGTTCAGTTTCTGTAAGCTTCATTACTAAATTATGCTAATTTAAAGATTTTAACTATTGAACACTTGACTGATACACATCAATTAGTGTTAAATTAGAATTTAGTACTATTATCAGTAACATATCCAAAATACAGAAATATTTTTTGGGTACACTACGATGTTTTATTTCCAGTGGCGGTCCTTACAATAACTTAGTTTAGTGAATCAGAATTTATGATTAAGATTTTAGTAAATAAACAGTTTTGGTCGACCCTGTAGAAATAAATATTCAAATAATTACATCGTTGTAAAGACGATTAGAAGACCTTTCCAATGAGGTGTTTTGAGACACATGGTTGCATTTAAAAAAATTGCCGATTACGTCACCACGGTAATATTGGTGAAGGAATTGTAGGTTATGTTATTCTTCTTCTTATCTTTTATTAAGGTTGTTTTTGGCCTAAACATTAGTGCGTTTGCTAACGAATTAATAGATCGGCATCTGGGAAAAATTTATATATTCATATAGATATGTATATAAACGTTTTTTACATGTATTTGGTGTTAATTTTTACCTCAGAATATGAGGTACATGCTGGGTATATGACTTTTAGTATCTTCTTAGAATGTCCTGTTATAGCACGTGCTCAGTATATACTTTTTGGAATATACTTTTAAGGCACGTACTCAGCATATACTTTCTAGAATATACTTTCAAAGTATATACTAGGTATGTTCTAAGAACATTCTAAGAAGGACATACTAAAAAGAACATAAACAGAACGTTCTTAGTATATATACTTTCAAAGTATATACTAGGTATGTTCTAAGAACATTCTAAGAAGGACATACTAAAAAGAACATAAACAGAACGTTCTTAGTATATTCATAGAACATTGATGTTATGTGGGTTAGAACCCGATTGATTTTCAGAATTTTCGATTCATCCTAACTACTTTATAATCAATTTTCTTTAAATCCGCATATGCATTTCTTGTGTTACAATTTTAGGAATTTCAATTATTTTTTCTAAGTCAACATTCCTAACATTCTTAAAATTCCATAAATTGCAAATATTCTCTAACGACCTGTCAAACAACAGCTGTTGATAGTAAAGGTGAAATTTCTAAGGCGGGTTGAGACCTTCATACTTGCAATCATAGTCATTTTGGAGGCTATTTTTATTCGAAATTAGTAGACAAGCCTGCCAATTTATGAAAAATAAATAAAGAATTTCTTAAAAATGATTTTTTATGGTGGTGCTAACTTAAGCGTACTACTATTTCACCCCTAGCCACAAAAACACCTGTATCAAATTTATTGTCTCTCTGTCGCAACCCCATAGAATAATTAACCGGCCATTTTATTTGGCAAAAATCAGAATAATGCTTGGCTGTGCCTGTCAAGTATCAAGATGTCAACTGTGATGTGTGAATGGCTCTTAAATGTCAAATTATTTAAAAATGTATACTTCTTTTGATATTTATTGCAAATAATTTGTAGTATATCTCAATTCAGGCTTTCCATAAAGGTACAGCAAGATAGATAATATAATGTTCTTATACAAAGGTAGGATATAATGCTGGTTTTTTGTAGAAAATTTTTATTATACGATTTTGGATTACATATTCAACCAGCGAATTGTAAATAATAATTAGTAAACTTCTAGTCATAAATTTCCTCAATAAATAAAATTTAAAAATGAATCTTCTTACCTTGGTACCGAGATATTTTGTTGTTTTTTATTTTAATTATAAAGTTGTCATTTATTTGTATGTCGAAAGAAGGCCTTTGTAAATTACATTGCTCTCTATGGATCTACTTTAACACAAAAATAGTTTTGTGGCTATAAGTTGCTATAAACTATCGTCGCAAAACTATTAATAATTTAAACATAGTAAGTAGTATTATTATAACATTAAGTAATTTTTTAAAGCAAAGTACATGATCTCAAAATAGAAATAATTTATAATAAATGCGGGTAAAACGAGGGGTAAAATAACAATAAATTAAGGGAAATACTTAAAAAGGGCAGGTTTTTTTAATTTCTGTAGGCCGTCTATTAAATTTTTTAAACCTTCAATAAAAATTGTATTTTGGGAACTTTTAGTGATGGTTTGCCATATATGAAAGTCAGTTTGGCTTCTTGTATTTTAGTTGTAATATTTCGAATTATATTGAATTTTTTCTAATAGATCTGATGTGATGGTACTATGTCATTTTTATTTTATAAATAAATATCAGTCATGTACTGAACATAATCCTGAACTGAAAGCCAATTTATTTCTTTTAACATAGTTGCAATACTCATCCTTCTGTCCTTTATTAATATTATATAAACAGGCGAAGTAAGGAGCCCAAATATTTTACATGAGCAGGCTTAAGAGGTAAAGGGGCTAATTATTATTTGATAAATTGCTCAAACAAGTTTGTAAACCCTAATCAAAAGGCGATACAGAATGGTTTTAAAAATCAAGGCCTATGGATATCATCACATGGTTTAACCTAATTAATGCCAATGCTTCACAAACCAAAAAATTGAACGTCCTAATACTACTATCGGCTTTCGGTCTTTCGTTCCAAGTTAAATCATTTCTCGTTTTTGTTACACTACGAATTTAGCCTTGTGGGCCTCAGTCTCGATAATGTGGGAATTACCATTTTAGCGTCTCTCGAATTTCGAATATTGCCACGCTTCGTATAAATTCATATTTTTCCTAATTTTAATTAATTATTTAAATAACATCCTATACATAAAACTTTGTTTAAGTATGTCGACAATTTGTTTTGCATCGCAATCATGTGCAGGGTTGATTATTTAATAATTAGTAAACATTAGTTTGATAACAATAAACTATGAAGGAGTTATAAAAGTAATGTTGAGGGGATGCGCAGGGCTTTTTCCATAGGGAACGGATCCTCCCCATATGAGGTCCCCCCTTGTAGGAGATTCCCAGTAGCAGCTCTCTAAAGTCTTTTTATGGCATTATTTTAAATAGCAGATTTAATACTCAGGCAAGAGTTGTGACATGTGCCCCAAATATTAGTGTAGTTGGTAAGTTTATATTTTTGTGTACTTGTTATTACATTGAGCCCATATTTGTGTGTGCCGAGCTGTGACCTATTTTGTATCCTTGTTTTAATTATAATATTATATTTGTTTTGAGAAAACCTTGTTTCCTTCAGCCCTTTTACAGAGACGTGTTACGTTTTAACATCAAGATTAGAACCATTATACAGTCAAGGGCTACGAAGCCAAGTTTAAGGCAATATAGAGTTCTTACGTTATATTGTGTTATATTTTGTTATTCAACCCCCGGGGCATAGATAGTCCCATAATTATTAAAGAGCACGTAAATCGTGACATTTTTTTGATAAAAAACACGGATAACGTGACAATATAAATAGCTTTTAAAATGGACGGTTATGTCGCAACCTCCCTAGATATACGAGAGCTTCCCACTGGCAGCTATTGTTTGACAGGTCGTTGGAATGCCTAATTAAGGTGTCGGCCAAATTTAGTCAAACTCCATACATAATCCTGTCTCTCAATTAAAAACATTAACTATTGGGCATTTCAACTACCTATCATACAATAACTGCCAGTGGGAAAAGCTCGTATATCTAAGCGGGTTGCGACATAGCCTTTCTTCTTGGATGGTATTTTATTTGAAACAGTGAAACAGTAATCGCCAATCCTGCAATTTTTTTTTAAATAATATTTTCATTGTATTCGACATAAAATATTTAAATAATTTTACTTGTTGTAGATAGAACACATCGTATGTCGTAACCTCTTAGATATGCCAACCTATCCCACCGATAGCCACTTTGTTTAAAATGCCTAATTGACATACGTTATTCTGATTTTATAGGTTAGAGACCGGATAAAACTCACTTCAGCATTGGTAGTAGATCCTCTTTACCTTCAGCACGGCTACTCAGATGCTTCGATCGATTACCGACATTGGGGAGTTCCCCTGAGTAGAAGATTCAGATCTTTGAAGCTTTGGTTCGTTTTGAGAAGTTATGGTATATCTGGAATTCAAAAATATATCAGGAATCATATTAAACTCGCACATAGATTTGAGGAACACGTTGTTAGAGATAGAAAGTTTGAAATTTGTAACGAAGTCAAAGTAAGTGTAAATTTTATGTTGATTTTTAATTTATTAGATAAAAAAGAACACCGATAGGCACGTGGATATTTTTTAAAGAAATTTACATGTTTTGGATTTGTTGATTTGTATTTATTTAATAATTTATAAAGGGGGAGCCAAAAAATAATTGTTCAAGGATAGGCCATGACAGAAAAAGACAGAAAAACGAGTCATATCTGTGATAACTACTCATAGACTGAGAATTGGCCGTATAACATTAAAAGGAGGATTATTTTAGGTGCATTAAAAGAACTTTTTTTTAATAATTATTAAATACTAGACCAACATTGCTGCGTTTGTTGAAGCGGAATTTTATAGTAACTTATAAAAATCCTAACTGAAAAAGGAACATTAGCATAGTTAAAAACATATGGCTGAATAACCACTGTTCGAATTTATTGTGTATATTTTGTATCATCCTGTACAATTATAACTGTTTAATTGTTAATGTTTAAATATCAAGTTGTTCGAAAGTTTGGTCAAGTAAATAAATAAATTATTCTAAAGTCATTCAACATTATTTTTCTGTATTTATACTGCAATCTTTGCCTATGAACCGCTAGACAAACCGTTTTTGGAGAATATAGAATTGACTCTTTCCATTATTCGACAATTACTCATTCACGTAAAAGGAGCGGGAATTTTAAATCTAGTCATTTTTCAAACACTTACTGCTATCTCTGTTTTATCCTCGCCTTGCATCTGTTGGGTTGACTACGACGATTATCCTATGTCATCGTTACTTTAAACAACTGTCATCAATTCTATATAGCAGGGAGCCAGTAATACTATTTTATAAATAAATAAATTATAAATGTAACGTTAGTTCTTACCCTGTAAAAGTTGAAAATACTTTGTTGCTATCGATCTAGCGGTTAAATGCCCTGTCATCAAGCAAGAAGGTACTTATTGTGAGCCAAAATGAAGATACTTTTTTCTACTAACCTATGATGACAGGATTTTATACACTGGCTGTGACACAGGCTTGTTTAAAACGTCATCGTCAGGGGCTCAATCGCTGTGTAGCAAACTTTTTTCATGTTCTACAAGGTAAGAATGAACGATATATTTATAATACCTTTCACAAATTACACATCTAAAAGTGTCACTGGCTCCCCTACCATTACTATCAAACTCAAAAACAAAATAACATTTTCGGATGTATAATTGGAACTCAGGGTAGGAAACATAACAGCAATACATTTTTATGATTTTAAGCGGAACTAGAATTTGCGCATGGGTAATAGAGATCATCAGAAACGGGAAAGGTCCAAAGAAAGTCACAATCAACTATAATCCCGACTCCATAGGGGGATTAGCAGAATCCAAGTACCTGAACGGGTCTAACTATATCAAATGGAAATTCTGGATGAAAAATTTCCTTATTGTACTTCCTGGTTTTGTCTCGATATTACACTTTGAAGTCCCGCTTTGGGCCCAGCTCGAGAAACTAATTAGGTTTTTTGCTGGAAAATTAATTGTACCTTAGGTTGTGCGTTCAAGCTCCATTCTCGCCTGTGTATCTGAATTGGATGTGATGCTACTATCGGATGTAGCATTACTACTAGTAAATATACTTTAGGTTGTGTGGAAATTGAGGAATTCCCTTAAATACGTTATCAATGCATTAATGTAAAGTTTTCGAATAACCTCTGTAGTTAGGAAAAATCTTATTTAGCACATAAGGAAAATTATAGGACTATAAATAATATTAATACTGATAGTATCTTAAATGAAGCAATTCATGTGAATGCTAAATTTTTGCAACTCTTGAGGGAGCACACTACTTACAATGTGCCAGTGTTCACCTATAAATTACCTTTATACATTTTTCTACCTTCTACCTACTCTACCTTCAGATCTAAAATAATTTAAAATTAACATAATATACTTACTAGAACTCTAGTCCAATCTCTGTAGAATTCGTTTTATTTTCTCATAAGGCTCCAGTTTTATTGTTTTCCTCGATGTTTTTCCCATTTTTTAAATTTTCTTTTGCGATATCTAAAAATGTATTATTGAGCTGATACACCGAAAAAAAATTCTTACCGTGGCAATAAGAAAAAGTTAATTAAATATGCCTCAGCTAGAAGATTTTACCGTGACAGTAATACAAGATTTGCTAATATTTGGATTACTAAGAATTTATTCGACTGCGGCAGTAAAACTATGTTACAGCTCTGGTCAAATATTATTACAGAGGTAGTAATTTTTTCTTACGGCTACAGTAAAATTGTATAACTACCACCAATATCTAGGATTACCATACGTAACATTTAGTTGTAATGCTGCAGTAATACTGTCTTACTGATTTGGTAAATCTGCTCTAGTGCTGCAGTAATAATTTCTTATTACTCTAGTAAAACGGTTTCACTGTAAGAGTAATAATATCTAACCACTCTAGTAAAACTGCTGCACTGTAACAGTAATATTATCTTACTACTACAGTAAAACGGTATTACTGTTACAGTAATAATGTCTTACCAATTTAGTAAAACTGTTTCACTGCTACAGGTATAATATTTTGCCACTATAGTAAAATTGTTGTACAGTTACAGTAATAATAGGTTACTACTACAGTAAAACGGGTTTACTGTTACAGTAATAACGCCTTACTATCATGGTAAAAATGTTTTACCAAAATATAATTTATATTAAAGGCTGAAATAGGTTTAACAAAGGTAAATATTTTTCTCATGAACTCGAAATATAAACTCTTTTATCTTTCGCTTCAAAGAAAAATATTTACACAAAATTAAATCAATTTCAGCTAAATAAATAGATTTGCTTAATTTTTTCCTCTGGAAAATCTTCGGTCAATTTTTCATAAAAGGATTGACAAAATAAAAAAAAAAAAAAGAAAAATTTTTTATTTTGAAATCAGCATAGCACAGCAGAGCTAAAATGTTTTTATAATTTTTATAAGGTACAAAAAAAAACATTTATTTTTAATCCAAAGCTGCAGGAACGGAAGTTTACTCGAAAACCATTCGAGATATAAATGTCAAAATCAATTTTACCATGGTATTTTCTTTGGTCATACAAAATTCCTCGAATTTTTTCTTGAAATAAGATGCCTTATGCTTTCTTCATCTAATAATTGAAAGGAATTATCATCAATGCCCTCATCTAAAAATAAAAATTAAATTTGTGTGGAACGACAATTCAAGTTTAATGAAACGTAGTATTTGCAACTGAAAGTGAACTTGTTTATTGTCACTTAAGTGTTTTGATCAACAATCTACAATATTTTTATATTTAAGGTTTTTTTTTATGATTTTTATCACTATATAAAGCATAATCAGGTTGTTCAAGATATATTTTTTAAGTAATCTCAAATAGCAATAGGTTTTAGGAGTTTTAGGTTGTTTTTATGAGCTTTCCCGCTCAAATTTCGCGATCGCAGCAGAAAGTTAGAGACTAGAGTAGAAATGAAACGCTCGAAAATGATATGGATCGATACGATTGGTATCGCTATCGCTATGTCTCATTGAACACAGCTTTCTTTTAAATCTAACAAATTTATTGCTTTGTGAATCTTAACCAAACATATTTAATAAATTTTAATCTAAAAACTTTCTCTTGGAAATATTACATTTTTGATACTGCGAATATGCTCCGGTGCAGTTAAAACATTTCTAGACCGTATAGCTCATCCTCAATTCGAAATAAAAGCATTCATGCATTATGCATTTCCCACCTTTTTTATTAATGTATAAATAAAAATGGATACAGGTACTATATTTAGATAAGTATATTATTTCGAATTACTTACCAACGAAACTATGAACTAGGTCCGAAAACCCCCACTCCGTTAACAATGCACAATATTCCATATTCAATATTATACCATTTATACCCCCAGATAGAAATTACGGAGCACTTCGCACTTCTTCATGCACGCTATGACCTAAGCTCACGATGCGACGATTGAACGTGTTGACTGCTTCTGTGATTATCGTCGACTCAAGTCAACGCCTGTGCAAAAGGATATGATCGAAGCTCTTCGTCATTAATCGTAACGGTTCGGTACATTTGTTGTTAACCTGTCTTACCGTGGTTGTTAGAAAAATATTACTATTTTGCAGATTCAGTATGCTAGTTTTACGGTGGTAGTTATAAAAATGTTACTAGTCAAGGTCTAACTGCGGTAGTAATACAAATTACTGATTCAGTAAGAAAGGTTTACTATGATGGTAATACGAATAATAGTAATTCTATTTCTAACTGGAGTAGTAAAAAAATATTACTGCCACGGTAAGAATTTGGACTGTAAAACTTAGTTTACAGTCCTAGTAACACATCTAACAGTTGTTGTTAGACAATCTAATAGTAGCAGTAAAAAGTTTTACAGCCATAGTAAACTTTTTAGTAGTAACACTTTCTTACTGAAGCGTTTTCCTCAGTGTACCAAAACCGTTTGTGATCGACGACGAAAAAGGGTACAATATAGGTACGATCTAGCGGGAAGTGGCTACTGGACCATCGATACGACCGCGAAATAGAAATATGGTATTTTCGTTTTTAGGTATGAATAGATCTCTAAAAATGGTAGCTCGTGCTGGGCCCACAGTGGGACTATAAAGTGTAATACCTTTGATAAAACCAGTTGTACAATTATGATCAAATTTCCTCACAGTTAATAATTTGATCTTTTAATTAATGTAGGACATTGGAATTTTATCGAGCTGAAGGCGGGCGAAATTGTTGATACCAACCCTGATCAACAAGTCTTATCGAAAATAAATCTCTTTCTAAAACCCAGTGCTACAGCCGAGACACAAAAGTCAACTACCTCTAAAAAAGATTGGGAAAATCTCAAAAAAGTTTACGAAGGTTCCGGCAATGTGAGATTAGTTGGGTTTTACTCTATAGTCTGAACAAAAGAGGAGTGCAGTAAAAGTGAGGTTATAACGTCATATTCCATCTTTGAATACATATTCAAAGTATTCCATAGACGTACTTTGCAAAATAGCTTT